TTCAGAATCATAATAAAGCTAAAAAATGACTACATGTGAGCTTAAATGTTCAATTTTCTCTAACTTCACAACTTGGACTGATATAGCAAGACTTTTTATTTTAGTTGTCCTCTTTCATAGACAGCTATTTTCTTCTTGTGGTGTACATTTTTTTTAAATTCTTTATATTTTTCAATCTCATAATATTCTGTAGGCTAGTGAATCTCGCTGCTTCTCTCGCGAGAAAAGCAGTTTCACTCTTTCTCCGCATGTGATTGGCTGTTGGCTACTGATGTCACTCCTAAACTCAGGATCAAAGCCTGAGTTGACAGAGAAAGTTGATGACCAGCATCATGGTACCAACAAAGCCTGGTTGGATTGGTTTGGTTTTGTCAACTCGAAACTAATCCTGTAACCCTGAGTTTGTTCAACTACCATACGGGCCCCAGGTCTTCCAGCCCGATCACAGCTGGATTAGCAGGCTGGTTTTAAATCAAATCAAAATGTATTTATAAAGCACAATAAAAACAACAGTAGTTGACCACTGCTGTATAATACCAAACTAAAATAAACATAAAAAGTAAATATGAACAATAAAGACCGTAATGCAATGAGGAAAAATGAGAACATCAAAACACCAATGCGATGAGGCCTCAACTCTAGGAACAGTTCTATACCTGGGAGAAAATATAGGGTTTTAACCTTGATTTAAATTAAGATTCTGATTAAACTAATCTGAGGGAAACAGGAAGACTATTCCACAGTTTTGGCCCAACAACAAAAAGCACGGTCGCCTCTCAACTTTAATCTAGATCTCGGGACCATCAACAATCTTTGTTCAGAAGACCTCAGAGATCTAACAGATGGATTTGGATTTACAAGTCCACAGATCTATAAAGGAGCTGACCCGGTCAGAGCTTTAAAAGTTTTTGAGGGGGGGTTTAAGACCAGACTTTCAGGAAGGTGATCATGAAAACAAGCTGTGCCTGTTGGAATTACTGCTTTGTCTTTCTCAAACGATTGTTTTTGGGAAATTTTTCTCCCCGGTTTCACAGACAAGGCTTCAGTCTAGTCTCAGTCTAAAGTGCATGTTTGAGCTGTTTTAACTGAAAGCAACTTGCACTGACATATCTTAAAATAGATCAGTCATTGTTTTGTCTCAAAATGCACTACTGTTTTTTTTCCTAAGGCACGTTTATAAAAGTTAAAAATGTCCTAATTTAACTAAGGTTTAATCCTGGCTTTATCTAAATCCTGTCTGTCAAACCAGGCCATTAGAAAATCAAGCAAACGTCCAACATAGTCAGCGGTAACAGCACTGATGGTGGCATAATGTATCGGTGAAATGAAGTCACAAAAATACTGAACTAATACATATACATACATGCACACACAAACACGCACACATTGAAAACCCTTTAAAACAATCAGATTATAAACCCTGTCAGTATTAAATAGGCCTACCACATTAAAATCAGTGTAGTATAGTAGGCTAATACTAAATCAATTAATTATGGACAATAGGAAATATGTAGCTTTTGACTTTATTTTGTTAGTACACAGATTTCAGGCATTTAATGGGAAAAAAAACACCTCCATAATAATAGTCTTTGTGCATAGCAAAAAGCAACAAATGCTACAACTGTACTCAATCTACACACACATTCATGTCTAGCACAAACGACTGCGACTTTCAAATACGTCATCCTAAATATAAGAAACAATAGCTTAATTGTGATGTGTGCCTTTAGCATAGACTGCTTAAAAGTCCTTAAACAAATACCAATGTGTACCGGTAGATGGCAGCAGTGGAATGTAATTCTGCATTTCTACATCCCAAATGGACCATTTAATGAACCAGCTTAGATGTTCTTCTTTCTGCTGGTTACAGGTGCAAAAAAATAAAACATTCTCTGTAGTGGAAATTAAGTATGCACTATTCAAGACCACAACAAGGCAGGGCTTTCATAATGAAGTAGCATATCTGGTGTAAAGTAGCCTAATCCCAAACTCCATCTGTTACATTCGGTCCTGGCTTTATTCACAAAGCCTACATTCTACAGCTTTATCTTTATGGTTTATGCGTTTATGGTCCTGGGGCCTGCCCTAAAAATACTTGAGTGTCATTAACTGAGTGCACGTAAACTGCACACTTGTGCGCTCATCTAATTCTCCTTTGATTTATTTTCCCGCGTCGTGCGTCAGTCTTGACGTCATTAGAATGATGCTTGACCCGGGCAACGAGCTGCTTTTCTGAATCGGTTCATTAAAAACGATTCGTTCAATCACCAGGTGGCGACATGTGAGTGCCCTTTTGTGTTATGAGCGAGTCATCATTCGATTAGTTAAAGTCCCCATGTAGTCAATAGTTTCATCCCTTAAAGGGATACTCCACTTTTTTTGGAAATAGGCTCATTTTACAACTCCCCCAACTGTTGAGTTTTACCGTTTTTGAATCCATTCAGCCGATCTCCGGTTCTGGCGGTACCACTTTTAGCATAGCTTAGCATACATCATTGGAGTGGACAAGACCATTAGCATTTCTAAAAAAAAAAATGACCAAAGAGTTTCGATATTTTTCCTATTTAAAACTTGACTCTTCTGTAGTTACATCGTGCACTAAGACCGACGGAAAATGTAAAGTTGCGATTTTCTAGGCTGATATGGCTTGGAACTATACTTTCATTCCTGCGTAATAATCAAGAAACGTTACTGCCGTGCAGCAGGCGTAATGATATGACGCAGCGCCTGAAAATAGGCCACCTTCCTTCAACACAATGGAACTATTTTCAGGCGCTGCGTCATATCATTACGCCTGCTGCTCTTATGGTACGGCAGTGAAGTTTCTTGATTATTACGCAGGAATGAGAGTATAGTTCCTAGCCATATCAGCCTAGAAAATCGCAACTTTACATTTTCCGTCGGTCTTAGTGCACGATGTAACTACAGAAGAGTCAAGTTTTAAATAGGAAAAATATCGAAACTCTTTGGTCATTTTTTTTTTGAGAAATGCTAATGGTCTTGTCCACTTCAGTGATGTATGCTAAGCTATGCTAAAAGTGGTACCGCCAGAACCGGAGATCGGCTGAATGGATTCAAAAACGGTAAAACTCAACAGTTTAACTCTGGGGGAGTTGTAAAATGAGCCTATTTCCAAAAAAAGTGGAGTATCCCTTTAAAACTCATTTTTTGATGAGCAAAATTACATATTTAAATGTTTTTTTCCCTTGGAAAAAATCTCTTCGTGCCTTAAAATAGCTTGAATGTAGGCTACTACACCCTTGCTTCATTTAGTATACTCGGTTCTATGAATATGCTAATTAGCCCCGCCTCCACTCATTCACAGCAGCTCAGAGATCAACTCTTTGACGATCACACGTTGACCTGATTGGTTGCAAGGTAGTTTGTGACGTCAGAAACACCAGCGATTTCAAACCGTGTTTTTGAGACTGTCTTTTGAGAAAATACTCAGCAATGGTGTTGACTTATGAATTTACACATGGTTTGTTCATATTTAAAACACACCACATAGACATAAATAAGCAATTAGCCTATAAATTTGCAACTAATGCCGCCAACACTACACAATTTTAGCCCTGATTTTCTGCTCGCTGACAGTTAAAGACTAAAAACATCATCTGAGTGACGATCAGTGTTTGAAATATCAAAGACATGAGCCGCTGATACAAGAGAGAAATTTATATCAAGTTTAATATCTAGACTAGACAACAAAGCATAGGCCTATCGTCCATTGAATCATCATCATCATCATCATCATCATCAAACAGATAATAGCATAAAATCCATTATGATTCAGCCTACAGTAGGCTAGCCTGACACTTTAATTGTGTATGGTCGTTATTTTATCACAATTCTTGTAACACAATTCTGAACAAATCGTGTCATTGCAGGTTTCTATGTTACATTATTACGCTATTTTTCCTGCTCAATTTATTGTGTTAGATCATTTTTAAGGTGTATTATTTTTAATCAATTAACATACTTATTTTGTCCGTTTTATGTGTTGCATTCAATTAATTTAGAAATAATTTATTTAGTTTAATCGAATTTTTTATATATATATTTTTTACACTGCTTTCTTTAGACTTTCCCACGGACACCCTAGCACCCCTTGTGGCCCCATACACTCAAAAAAGATTGAGCCTTTTTTCAAGATTTATCAATTAATAGTAAAATTCCATCAAATTGAATTGAATAATCCTTACATATTATTCCTACTATAAATTAAGAACATAACATGAGTAAAAACAACTAAAGCTTAATTAAACATTTTGTATAAATCTTGAACTTACATTTAAACATAGGCTATGAATACGAATCACATTCCCCATTCCATTACGATTTATACAAAATGTTTTATCAAGCTCTAGTTTTTTATTTTATTTTATTTTTACTCATTTAAAATTCTTAATATGAATAATATGTAAGGATTATTCAATTCGATTAGATGGAATTTTACTATTAACTGAAATGAGTAAATCTTGAAAAAAGGTTCTCTTTTTTGTGTGAGTAGAGATCCCGGCCGGACCCCAGTTTGAAAACGCGCTTCAAAAGAGAAATACTTCTTCAGGGGATGAGTCGAAAACTATAGTGAGCAATTCGTTCATTTAAAAATACATTCCAAAAACGGATTCATTCACCGATCACGAAACGGTGCTATAGATTTCCCTCTTGTCTCAGCGGCTCCTGATGTCACTCAGATGATGACGTAGCTCCGATTTGCCTCCCTTTTTAGTCTTTCAGGAATCGTCCTGTGCTAATTAGTGGCTGTCATTACCATAATCTGAGCAACATTCCTGGAAGGAGATAAAACAACTGTCCTGACTTGCATTGACATGATGATATAGGCCTAACGGAATCACAACATGGGCTACGTATGCGATTTATCCATACGCCTTAACTTAAACTCTCAAGTCTGGATCGGTGTAAGGATGTCACACGTTGTCAATAATCAATAAAGTGTCTTAATGACCTGTTCTCCTCCTCTCCTCTCCTCGTCTCCTCCCCTCAGATGCGCATCATCCAGCGCTCGCGCTCCCTCACTTCAGCACTCGCGTTTCTCAAGTGCGCGTCTTCTGCATTTAACGCCAGCATCATTCGAGGTAGAGCGACACACACAGAGGCGAGAGGGAGAGAGGAATACGGACACTTCGAGTAGATAGACGCCCGAGACAAGGTCGACTGAGTCTCGCGATCCGTTCTGCGTGTCTCGCGCTCGGACGCTCCAGACGCGGGCGCGTGTGTTTTGCGCTGTCTCCTCTCCACGCGTCGGTTTCCAGGGGTCTTAAATCTGGAGGCGAGGACCCGGGGATGAGCCTGCTGTCGAGGGGCTTCGGCATGGCGGGCTGGGGGTTCCGTTGGGTTCTGGTTCTGGTGCTGCTCGCGCTCTGGAGGCCCGGGACCGCTTGTCCGGAGCTCTGCACGTGCACGGGCGTGCGGATCTCGTGCGTGGATGCGGAGCGCAGTATTATGGCTTTTCCAATGTTGCAGTCCGAGGCAGAGATGGAGAATATCACAGACATGTAAGTCATACAGGAGATGCCAGGGGTCACTGAAGGTGGTCATGCATGTTGTGTCAACTCTTTAAAACAGCCAGCCAATGAATCACAGCGTCATTAACTTGCATAATCGTGTCTATGATTTAGTCAATTTGATTTATTGTACTTGAATTACTGTGCCAAAGTAATTTTATAAGTGCAAACCACATTATTATTGTCATTATATTCTCTTCAGTGCTGGTTCTTGGTATGTTCACACAACATGTTTGCAAAAATAATGATATGAGCCAGATGCCAATGAAGACATTTTGATGGACTTTAGGTTACAAATCACACTGGATGATCTTTTTTAAAGAGAATGTTCTTGTTGCTGTTTACAGATACATTGCAAATCAAAGCAGTTTCACATCCATTAATGAAAAAGATCTCAACTTGTACCGCAACCTCAGAAACTTGTGAGTACTAAAAATGTGGAACAACTTGTATGTTCTTTATATGCGGTGAGATGGAAATGACATCGGTGTTTGTCTTATCCCTCAGAACTGTAACAAACACGAAACTCACATATATTTCGAGGCAGGCCTTTCAGAGCAACCTGAAACTACAATATCTGTGAGTGTTTTGGTTTTGGACGAGCTGGAGGTTCAATTTAGCATGTTTCGATTGTTTGCAAAGTTACAATTATCTGATATTGTGGGGATTTAGTATGTGTCTTTATCAGTGCTGATCATTGCCTCCTTTTTCAGGAATCTCAAAGAGAACAATCTGTCGTATCTATCCTGGAGGACTTTTCATCATTTAAACATTTCATCCCTGTGAGTCTCGGAGTGTTTGTTGAAGATATATTACAGTTAGCATGCTGTGTCTCCAGTGTGACGTTTTGGTGATTTAAAATATTTCATTTTCTATGACAGCAAATGATGCTTGCACACATTATACAATTGAATAATATACTCCAAAACTATTCAAAAGTATTAAAAAAAAATTGAAAACAAAAATAGTCAATTTTCAAGGTTGTTGGTAAGTTTGATAATTTTTGGAATCAGTCAAACAGGACTGGTTGCCAGCCACTCTTGAAAATATTGTCTGATAAACTGGACTTGCCAGTTTTGCTTTTCGGTATGGTTGAATCGGATCAGGGAGGTCAGCAGAAAAGACATCGGTAAATAAAGTGAGATTAAATGCATAAAGTATATCAATGTGATTTAACATTTAATTATTGCAGGTTTGCGTAATATTCTGAGTTTGCATGTCGCTGTTTTTATTCATTTTGAGGAATACTGAATCTGCTTTTCTGCAAGTGAGATGAGTAAATGCATGTTCACATTTACAATACCCATCATGTTCACACACACACAACGCACTCACTCCCGATTTCTCTCACATGAGGACAGGAGAGCTGTCAGTCAATACAGGTGAAAAAAAGTATCTCAGATATTTGTTGCAAATTTAAAAGTAATGCATTACTTTACTAGTTACTTTGAAAAGTAATCTGATTACATAACTCGTGTTACTTGTAATGTGTTACCCTTAACACTGTCCATATCCTTATGATACATCATTCGGATTATGATGCAGTCTAACCAGGTTGCATGCAGAGTTATTTGTGTGAATACTGCATGTTTCAGGGCACTGTTATGATACACTTGTATGCATTGGTATGTGGCAGGTTGCTGGCAGGCAATACTTTGCAGTGCTCGTGTGAAAACGTGTGGTTGAAGCAGTGGAGAGGAGAGGAGTCCGAGGAGCTGATGTGTGTGGAGGAGGGAGGGAAGAGGAGAGCTCTGGCTATGCTCACACTGCCCAACTGTGGTAAGAATGGCTTGATAAAGAAAACATATGGACAACACAGTCTAGACTTTCCTTTTACAGGGGTCATATCACGAGCAATCAAATCATCCTTGATCTTTTAAGTAAGATATACAATAGGAGCTCTATGAAAATGTACTGTAACTTTAAGAACTCACATTTTTAGGCCATTTATTGAAACAATGTTGAAAAAAACCAAACATTCCACGAGTCCCCAACGTTCTGATGTAAGATAGTCACAGTCCTGCCCAGACACAGTGAGATAAGACGAAGCTGGTTAGATTATTGTTAGACGGTAATTCCTAAATGAATGATAAGCGAGTGAAATAAGCAAAAGTTGGTTCTCTGCAAATAGTTCTGAAGGATCCTGATGTTTGAAACCAGTGGCTGAATTAGATTTTTAACAAGAACCGTGATCGTTCCAGTCTGATTTTAACTGTGTTTACTGTTCATTTCTGTCATACTGGACTATATTATAGACAAAGATGGGACAGTTAAAACCTGGAACCAGCATTAACCCTTAGCTTGTGAGCGCAGGGCTGTATCGTGTTTCACGTGTGAGAGGGCGTCAACATTGAATTATGAAAAAGGACCGCAGCAAAAATGCTACTTTATTTGAAGAATCAGAAAGAAAAAAAAGAAGGGGAAAAAAAACGATCAGGAAAAAATGTGATTGTGGCTGTTTTGGTGAGAACATGAGTACACCTGAGGGGGTAAAAATAATGATAATAAATCATATCTATGGATCATTTGATTGATAAGAGGCACTCAAGTGTGTCTTTATCAGTGCTAGTTTAGTATTGTTTACTATTTTAGTATTTATTAATAGTAATTTATTAATATTAAGTTTAGTACATTGCTTTTGTCATTTGCTGGGTCAAAAATGCTGGGTTGTTTCAACCCACGTTTGGGTAAAATGTGGACAAACCCAACCGTTTGATTTATAATGAAATTTAAAAAATGTAAAGCAATGGTTGGGTTTGTCCGTACAGTATTTGACCCAAACGTGGGTTGAAACAAGGTGTCTAGCTTTAATTTATTTTTATTTCATTTTCAATGTTAGTAATTTTATTACTATTACTATTATTAACTTAATTTATTTCAGCTAGTTGCAAAGGCAACAATTCTAAATATCATTTAATTGATTTACATATAAAAAGAATTATATAATATTTATATTCTGTTTTATTTCAGCATTATTTCAATGACCAAAAATGATTTATAACAGGTTTAATTTTACCTAACAACACCAACACTGGCAACCTTTATTACAAGATTGTAAGAATTGAATGGATCCCCTAAAACTGATTGTCAACCAAGAAGTATTTCTGCGATGAAGCCAGTTGAAAGAATTAACTAAGACATTCCACTATGGCCTGGATAACAGAGAATCCGCATATTTGAAAGGAAACTTGCGGTTTCACTCATATGATATTCCAGACTGAAGTTTAGGTGTGTTTGTTTGGTAAGATGTGATTTGTCCAGGCTGTAGTTTTATGGCTGCGGCTTGAGACGCGGATCATTATTGATCCAAAGATCAGCCTTCAGCCAGGCCTATTTTAAGCCATACCACAGCAGAAGGGCCTCGAGGGAGGAAGAGAGGACAAGAGAGAGAGGGAGGAAAAGGGAAAAATAGAGACAGACGGGGGGGATCCCCAGAATGCAAAAACACTGAGACATTTAGACTCTGCTGCGAGCGTCTGCTGGCCTGTGGCCAAATGCTGCCTTTCTTTTCCGTTTTTTTGTGCCATGAAAGAAAATAAGCTGCTCCACTGACTCGTTTTAACTTGCCATCGTTTTTGGAACATCTCGAGTGCCAGATGTACATTAGAGATGTTTCGCCAATACAATTAAGAGAAACTTGATGCCTTTGAATCCCAAAAAATGATTCACTTGCCCTTATGTCGTTCCAAACCAGGGTGAATTTCCCATACGACGCCGTACCTCGCTGCTTCACTTCCATAGTATGATGCATCGTTGAAGAAATCAAGCTTTCGGGAAACGCACCCCTGTATGACTGAACACAAAAGAAGATATTTTGAAAAATTTATCTTTTTTCTAAAGTCAATGGGGTCCAGTGACATTTTAGACTCCACTGACTTTCATTGTACGGACAAAAACAATTCTTCAAAATATCTTTTTTTTTGTTTTCCGCAGAAAGTCACTGAGGTTTGGATCGACGTGAGCATGAGTAAATGATGAAAGAATTAAAATTTTTGGGTGAACTCCTTTTTGAGATAGGAGCTGCTATGGGAAGATCCAGTCGGAACAGACTGAAGGTGTGTGTTATTGTGTTTGGTGGATATTTAAAAAAAGTATACAGTCTTGAAATGATCATAGCTGCGTGACCTGCAGTGTCCGGGAGCAGGAAGAGGTTCCCGGGACGCGGTGATAAGGATGTAACCTGCGGCCGCCTGGTAGATAGAGATCTGATTTGGCTGTCCATTCATGACAGAGACAGTCTGAGCTGTCTGCACTCGATGGCCTTGAGTTTAGTGGGAGCGCCTGGCGGGTTAGAACGGTGCTCCTGTGATGCCGATGGAGAAGTACGAGTTATCGGATATCTGAGCTAAATTCACTTTAAAAATAATTGGCTGTTAGAAAATAAGAATTTTTTAAGACTATTTTTATATAATAATATAACATAACATAACAATATAATATCAAAAATGATTGTTTTTGAGAATTGGTCAAATGTTTAAAAAAATTAAGTTACTTTAATTTAATTTATTTAAAGTGAACACATTTCTGAACTAAAATATCAAATACATATCTCAGTGCCCCTTTAACTATACGCGGAAAATGTCCAAATATTTGAAATACAATTAAAGATTTCTTTAAAAGTTATTCAAAACAATACATAAAATTAAATATACACACAGTAGTGGCCAAAAGTGATGTCCGAAAGGGTATATTTATTTTTAATGACCTTACAAGTTCAATTAAACCATCAAAATATAAGGTAAAATATTTTATATACATATTTTGTAATATTTTGAATACGAGGGAAGAATAAAAATGGTTAAGGTGTTTATCTGACAAAATGATTTGATTAAAAAAGGCAACATATAGCTAGGTTTTATTTTACTATTCAACAAATGCATAGAAATACAAAACGCTCACAGGAAAAAAGCAAACATTGACTACAACAAGCAACATAATCAGTTATTAATATTTCGTTGGTTCTCTCTTACGTGTTCTTAATATCTTTGTATGACAGCCTGCCCAAGTTTGACATATTTCATTGCGTTATCACACGACTCCAAGCACAGTGCAAATTTTTAATAATACTTGAATAAAGGGTGAAGATTTAAATTTTCTTATAGATCACTAAAAGGATTTGGTTTGTTTTTGAGAATTTGAAAAAAAAATTGTAAACCCTATTAATGTTAAAACTAATTTACTTTGATTACATTTATTTAAAGTGATTCAATTAAAAATAAATCGAATAAATGTATACATTTTAAAAGCTTTTAAAAGGATCAAATACATATGTGTCCCTGGACCACAAAACCAGTCACATGGGTCAATTGTCTAAAAAATAAATGGTTTATATATTTACGATAGGAAATTTACAAAATATCTTCATGGAACATGATCTTGATATCCTAATGATTTTTGACATAAAAGAAAAAATTATAATTGTGTGACTTGTGACTGGTTTTGTGATCCAGGGTCACATATCTCTGTGTAACTTTAAATATAACCTGAAAATGGCTAAAAAAAAATGAGTCATTTGAAACGATATAATATACAGATATATATATAAATATATGGAAAACTGGAAAGTTCACTCGCTCACTCAAAGATTCAGACACAGATACAGATAATATTGTTCCTTTTTTATGTTGTTATAAGTGTAATGTCCTGAATGGCAAACTACTGCCAATCTGACCATTCAGACTTAAACGCATTTTGAAAAACAAATTATGTTCTTAGGACCTTTTAGATATTTTTTTTAATCAAAAACCAAGACAACGATACTGATTCACAATATAACTTTTTTTCTAATTAATACTTTATTGTTAATAATTAGTGTATAAACGTTCTGGTTGGTGGTCTGTTGTTCTCTCTAGTTCTCCCCACTGTGACTCTCAAACCCACAAAAGTGACCATGCGGAAAGGGTTCAATGTGACGCTGGTGTGCAACACGTCAGGAACGCCCACGCCTAATCTGAACTGGAACACCTGCAAATTAAACTCAGCGCACCAGGTAAATCTGACCTTCATCTCCAAGTTCTTTCAGTTGTAATTATTAGTGGTTGTTGCGATTTCTTTTCGTGTGGATGCCAAAGAGGACATCCAGACTGGAGGAGCATGGGTAACAACACTGTTTCATTTCACTGTTTTCTCTAGATTGTTAGGTCTTGCCACAGCATTTTAAAATTGTATTGCAGACCAGTATTGTTCAGTCATTTTGATGATGAAAGTTATGCATTGTGAAAGCCATTCCTTATTTATGACATTTGCATTCGATTTTGCTGAGAGGATTGCTTAATTATTTAACAGATTTTGTTGATTTTTAGCATTTTAATGTAAATACTTTTTTGCCTTTTGGTATAAATATGTTAGCCTTACTGTTATCTATAAGCTAGTGTGTTCTAAAACAGTGATAAGATTTGCATTTAGAAGATATAAGCATTCAAAACTTACAATCTCTCACTTCCGTCAATCATGGCTCAATGATTTTGATGACATCACTCTGCACTTCAGCTTCTAATCAGGTTTTCTGTCCAATCAAATGCTCTCTAGAATCTGAAGCTCCGCCCCCTGCATTATACATAGACGCGGAAGCTGTGGCTGAAATCGGTCACTTGTTCACACATTTACTATTTTTCTACATGGTGATTGGCACGTAGTGCACTATAGGGAACGATTCAAACAGTGTAAATATGCTTTCCATTGGGGCGAATGAAGTCACGCGAACCACCGCAGCGCTCACAATCTGCTCCGGTCCAGAGACACGATAGTACAGAGCGGATCATATGATGGAGTCGGCGCAGGAATCGGACCAATTTGAATTCTGCACAGAATGCTATATTTTAAAGTAATATGGTGTAGATTGTGAGAAGAAACGGTTAGAGATTAGGAGGGAACTGCGGCTTTACTGAGCTCAACAGCTCTAGTCGAGCTGTGATATAAACAAAACGCTATTGGCTATTTAAAAAAAGGGGAGGAGCTATTCGATATGTCCCGCCCTGTCTTCCTGTGTGTAGAAATTACGTCAAGACATTGAATAACGCTGCGCGTTTCAAGGCACTTCAGTGGGCCTTTAAAGGGATAGTTCACCCAAAAATGAAAATTATTTCATTAATGACATGTCGTTCCAAGCCCGTAAGACCTCCGTTCATCTTCGGAACACAGTTTAAGACATTTTAGATTTAGTCCGAGACCCTCCATTGAAAATGTATGTATGGTATACTGTCCTGTGTCCGTGTCCAGAAAGGAAATAAAGACATCATCAAAGTAGTCCAAGTGTCATCAGTGGGTTAGTTAGATAGTTTCGAAGCATCGAAAATACATTTTGGTCCAAAAATAACAAAAACTACGACTTTCTTCAGCATTGTATTGTCTTCCGGTTCTGTTGAGGTCTTACGGGCTTGGAACAACATGAGGGCGAGTCATTAATGACATAATTTTAAATTTTTGGGTGATTTAACCCTTTAAGGCTTTGATTGATGGAACAGGGCAAAAACCCCTTAATAAACTCTTTTCCACTATCGGGCCAAACCGTTCTTAACCGTTCCATTCTGTGCCGATCCGGCCAAGATGGCACGGATAAGATTTCATTTTCTGATATCAGAGCTCCTTGGCATGTAATACAAATGCGTTAGTCATTGCCTTTGAAATGCAAGAATTTACAGAGGTATGAGATGTAAATAGCGACCGCATTATGGAGGATGATCAGATATTTCTATTATTAACTTGTGTTAACTTTGCTCAAATAGCATGCTTGGCCAGCTACAGAGAAACCAGTTTGTATAGAAATAGAAATATGTGCCGAACCAAGCTCAAGTGGAAATATAACCGTAACCAATTCCTAAACCGTCCGTTGGTGGAAAGGCGGCTGATGTATATTGCAATTTGCAAACCATTTTCTTAATGAGGTGAAACAGGATATTCCCCAAAAACAACAATCCCCGAATAGCTGTTGGTTAACATTATCCAATTGGCCATCCGCCTAAGTGACGCCAACGGAAAAGATCAGTCATTTCAGAGGGAGAGCTACTGATTACATTTCGATTAAAGACAAATATTTTTTCTTTGGAATGACATGCGACAATGAATCGTCCACAATAAGGCCAGGAATCTCTATTATCTGTATTAAGGAGGAGTTCTATTGCATAGACTTTAAATAGAAATGACATTGACATTGCTGTAACTCACACCCCCAGAAAGAAGGCTCAGGTCAGATGTCAGAGCTCAAGCTCAAGCTCTTGGATGTCTCCTCTCTGGACAACGGATGCAAAATCACCTGCAGATCTGATAACATGGTGGGAGAGTCTGAGGCGTCTGTGCATCTGGACATACTGTGTAAGTTATCGAGAGAAACACACATTTGTAAAACCAACAGATACCCACTGTTTTAGGAGAATTATTGCACGATACTGCTATAATTGCTACTCATTTATACCGGATATTACATTTATAAATTTTTTTTGTATACACTACCCAAGTTTTAACGTTTTTAAAAGAATACCCAAAGGGCTACATTTATTTGATACAAAAAAGAATATATATATATATTTATATTTTTAATGTAATTTATTCCTGTAATGCAAAGCTATTTTCAGCATCATTGCTCCAGTCTTCAGTGTCACATGATCCTTCAGAAATCATTCTAAAATGCTGATTTACTGCTCAAGAAACATTCATTTTTTTATTAATGTTAAAAAAAACAATTGTTCCGCTTAGTATTTTTGCGGATACCGTTATACATTATTTGAAATCGTTTGTAACATTATACATTTTTTTTTTACTGTAACTTTTGATCAATTTAATGCATCCTTGCAATTTAATGTGGTATTACTTTATTTTAAGGTGACATAGTTACACGTAACTACATGTAGTAATAGCAGTAAATTATGCATAATTACAAGTAACTAACTAACCATAAACCAAACCAGTAACACTTTATTTTACAGCCCTGATCCCCTGAACTTATAATAGAAATTACAATAACTGGGTAATAACTAGGTATTAACCCCGCACCCATCCGTAAACCTAACCTGTAGTTACTTTATATTACCCAGTACTTTCTTAGTTAAGTACACTGTCATGCTGTAAAATAAAGGAGAACCACCAAACCCTAACCGTAACTATAGATATTTAATATTACACAGTACTTATTTGAGTAGGTACAATGTAACTAGGAGGGTTGGAAATGTAAAGGGTTACACTTTATTTGGTGTCTGTGTCACAGTGTAATTATGCATTTAAGTACTGTGTAATAATAATTAACTACATGTACTTACTATTGGGGTAGGTTTTGAGTTAGGGTTTGGTTTAGGGCTTGTTGCATGTAATTCTGCATAATTTATTTATTACTACAGTAACTACATGTAACATGTGTAACAAAGGACACTGTAAAATAAAGTGTTACCAAATAAAGTGTAACCAAAAAATCCTACTAACTCCTAACTCTTGAAGTAAGTAGTGTAAGTCCACATTAATTCAACAATTTGTTCACCAAAATATCTGAGTTTAGTACACGATTGTGTACCTTTAAGATTTCTGTATATAAATGATCTTTGTGTACTAGATGTACTTTAGAAGTTTGATTTTTGGTTACACTTTATTTCAAGGTGTCCTTGATACAGAGTATTTTATGTACTGAGTAATATGAATTAACTACATACTGTAGGTTTAGGTTTTGGTGTAGGGTTAGTTGCATGTAATTATGCATAATTTATAGTTATTACTACAGTAACTAAATGTAACATCTAACAATGACACTGTAAAATAAAGTGTTACATAATTATTTAATCAGCAAATAATACATTTTAATAAGACCAAGCCTGTAATGCTACTATAAATCATTAAGTATTTAAGTTATTTATGTTTGTTTACGCTTGTCTTGTCCATTTATTATGCCAGTTGCCCCTGTGATCAGCAAGCTGATGGATGCGATCTCAGACCACCATTGGTGCATTCCCTTCAGCGTGGCGGGTAACCCAGAGCCGAAACTGAGCTGGTTTCTAAACGACCAACCCTTGGAAGAGGGCAGCTTTATCCATACCATGATCCACGATTATTCAGAGGGGGAATACCACGGTTGCTTACAGCTGGACAGTCCCACACACATCAACAATGGAAAATACACGCTGATGGCCAGGAATACATACGGAGAGGACAGCAAGGCAGTATTCGCTCATTTCATGGAAGAGCCGTGGATCAACGGTGAGTTGAAATTAGGATGCAGCCAAAACAAAACAATTTCTATGAATGTGTCTGCGAAGTTGCCTTATTTGTTTTCTTTTTCATGTTGTTTCATCACAATCAGTTACTGATCCGCTGTATTATGGTGAGTCTAGTTTAAGAACTTAGAATTAAATTATTGAATATTATGAATGAATATAGCCATCGTTCACCCCAAAATCTTTGAATTTGTGTCATTTCAAACCCATTTGACTTATGATTTTCTTGTGTTCCACCCAATAAAGTCATATGGGTTTGGATCAACACAAGTCAATGTTGACAATTTTCATTTTGGGGTGAACTATTGCTTTTTAGTCATTTATTACATAATACACATATTAATTATAATGTTATGAAATCTTTATTGCAAAATCTTTGTTAAAAAAAGTGATAATTTATAATTCTTACATTTTCTTCTTCTGTTTGTCTTCTCGTGTGTGAGATCCCACTACAGGTATGAACAAAAGACACAGGGACATACACAATTATAGATGATAGATTTGTAATCTATGCACATATATCTTATGTGTTTCTTCTCTTCCAAACAGATGACACTCCTCTTGGACCGCCTGAGGACAAAGTTGCTGTGAGTGAAATTGAATTATTCTTAAGTTTCATAATTTCATACGTTTTTACTGCATCAAAATAAAAAAAAACAAGTCTGTGCGTTACAGTGATTTTACCACGAGTAGGATTTTACGGATAATGTAGGGTGGAGTTCCTAAAACCCCTTAACAATGTTAAAATCATTGTAACAATCTCAAGTGGCTTATAGACTTTGTTTTTCTTTTTAAAATGGCAGCAACAGCAATAATTGAGACTGATGTTTTATAAATAGTTACTTTTAGTCATATGCTGTGTACTCGTACAGTGACAATAAAGGCTTTCAATTCAATTCAATTCAATTTTATTAATATTAATAATTGGAATAAACAAGTAATATAGTCAATTAAGGCTGTTCATGCTTGACAAGCAAATGGAATAGCTTGCCACAATTATATATAATGTATGTTTATCATCATTTTACAACAGCTTTGAATGCATTTCATCAAATCAGATATGGTCTAAACCTTTTTAAAATAAATACACTTTTATAAATTGTATTACTTCACAGTGTTATGGCATTGTTATGTTGTTATTGATATTGTTATGTTCCAAACCTGTAAGACTTCCATTCATCTTCAGTCCACAAATGAAGATCTTTTTGATGAAATCTGAGAGATTTCTGTCCCTCCATTGACAGCTGCGCAACTACACTTTGACGCTTCAAAAAGTTCATAAAGGGATCGTAAAATTATGAATTAAGTGGTTTAGTCCAAATTTTCTGAAGAGACTCGATCGCTTTATATGATGAACAGATTTAATTTAGTCTTTTATTCACATATAAACATTGATCAGTGAACACAGAGACAATTTATATAGAGCATGCCACTTCCTCAATCCTCAATACAACTATATAGGGAAAACCCGTAACGCCAAAGATGGCGGTTGTATGCACATGCCCCGCCCCTCCCGCTGGAAAGCCAATCGTCTGCTTTTAACAGTCAAGCCGGGAAACATGTAAGCCTATCGTCTGGTTTCACTGATTCATGCGCACAGTTGAGGTTTGCGACAGCGGAGACGAGAACCCTTGTGCATGCGTAGTAAACGTATAACCTGTGGGGAAAAAGGCCTTTTAAACCTTATTTTGGGGCAAAGTTATCAAACTTTTTCAGTGATTTTTATCATATTTTACTGCTGTTTCTATACAAGCTGTTTTTATGTCCTGGTGACCAGTGAAACTGCAGTTCTGACACTCTGCCCATTCATTAAGATAGGAGCCTGGTCTTGTTAGTCCGAAAGAGCTGCCCGGAGGCGTTGCCAAGATGGCGGCCGAGTGGCATGACTTGCCTAAAAGGACTTTGGTGAACATAAACCGAACCTGCTTGTGGCGTGAGAACGAACCTCATTGGTTCTTTCTGAAGCTCAAACGTGCTGCGTAACACGAGAATGAACCTCATTGGTTCTCACACGCCAAGCGAACATGCTTGAGATTCTTTTTACCACAACTGATGTGTGGGTTGATGAATGTTTATTAATGTCTCTTCAGAAAATTTGGACTAAACCACTCAATTCAAATGGATTAGTTTTACGATCTCTTTATGAACTTTTTGAAGCGTCAAAGTGTAGCTGTCAATGGAGGGACAGAAACCTCTCAGATTTCATTAAGAAGATCTTTATTTGTATTCCGAAGATCAACGAAAGTCTTACTTACGGGTGAGTAATTAATGACAGAATGTTCATTTTTTGGGTGAACTATCCCTTTAAGCCATCTGTGCTGTATGTTTGTGACCTCTAGATGCCCAATCAGTTTTTAGTATGGTAAACTTGTAAAACTCGTCAAAATCTCTTCCTCATGGAGAGTAAGTATTTTTACCCAATGAAGCTTTGAATGCAGTGACTGCTCTTTGAAGACTCTTCATCCGGTTTGTAGGTGTACGTGGTCGTGGGAATCGCAGCAATCACATTCACAGGCTTCATCTTGATGCTTGTCATTCTGAAGTTTGGACGCAACTCAAAGTTTGGAATCAAAGGTAAGGACCTCTCAGCTCTGTACCCGCGCGGCTCTGCCAAACCTTCATTAAGGACTGCTTTGGAAAGACACATTGTTCTGGGTGGAATAAGTGGGTTTCCTTTGTGGAAATTGAAAAGAGAAATGCTTAACGAAGGCTGTGCTTCGACTCTTTAATGAGCTGAAATAATTACTAATACACACTTAATCTATTATAACATTATTTCTCATGGAGAATATTGAAGAGGACTTATTATGCTTTTTTGCATTTCCAACTTTCTTTAGTGTTTTGCTGTTTGAACATAAAAAGTTCCAAAGCACAAAGTAACTCCAGCAAGAATTATTCTCTATATCAGTGTCACTGTTTCCGAACTCCCCGAAACGCCTCCATTGTAGTCTTGAGTTTTCTTCCGGGAACGAACATTTCACGATATTCCTCATTTAAATAATTCCCGCCCAAGGCATATGGAAAATAAAGGGGCAAGGCCTGTTTGAGTTAGTAGTGTGTTGTTGAAACTCCTAAACATTTAGGATTTCCTAAACATGCTCTAAGCTGTTGACCAATCACAACACACTGGTCCAGCTGACCAATCAGAGCACATTGTGCTTTTCGGAAGGAGGGCCTTCATAGAGACGGGAACTAAACAGAACGTTACTGACAGACTGGGAATTGGAGGAGCTGCAACAATATCAAATATGTGAAAAAAATAAGGTGTAACATACAAGCATGAAAACCTGTTCAAAAACTAAACCAATGTAAAAGGGCATAATAGATCCTCTTTAAAAAGTGCACACTAATATATTTAAGTTTGCTTAAATAATCTTTGCTGACTACTAGATACTAAAGCGTTTTCTTGCATTCTTGTTTGTCTCTCCCAATGATGTGTGCGATGCTTCTTGACTAAACATGACTCCTCTTAGGGAATAAACTGTTGTGTTTACACATTGTGTTGTGGAGGGGTGATTGTTTTTCATTTAGTAAGGTTGTTAGAAGATACATTTTCTTAAGAAAGGATTGTGAAAGTGCAGATGTTGCTGCCACAATGTTAGTGTGGTTGCCAGGGCGTTGCTACAGTGTATGGTGGTTAAGGTGCTCTGAGTAGTTTCTACTGTATTTCATTGTTATGTTGTTGCTAGGGTGTTTTGGGGGGGTTGCAAGGTGATTATTTACTGGTCGTGGTATGATATTCTTGATATTCTGATCGCTATGCCTTGGGTCCTCCTTCAATGTAAATCTAAGGGATTTTTCACCCATTTTATCATCAGAAATTGTAAATCGTAAATTAATTGCACACCTCTTCTCAACAAATTGCACAGTTTTTTGTCTGTTGAAAACAACAACACGTGAAGAGTTACATGCCAAATGTTAATTACTAACAGCTTGTGCCAGCGCAAACCCCCCTTTTGTGTTAAAAAACTCCTGTCAGGATTGACTAAAGACATGCAATGAAAGATTAGCACTGAAAAGGCATGGACAGGGTTATTTTTTGCAGATGACCTTATTGCATATGCATTTGTTGAAGTTTCCCTTTCAGGCGCATAATTTATGGGAGGAGAGTATTTAAATGAATCATGCAAGGTGATTTACTAAGGTTTGCTGTAGTCAATTTACTGGAATTTACGCCATTATTTAACGCCCCCCAAAAAAGACCAAATTAAACCAGACGCTAATTTGTACTGCTCTTGTTGGATTGCGTTGGTCATTGTGGAAATGTTCCGGCTGTGTTCTTTAATTTACTATCAGTAGATCACGTGCAGAACTTTCCATTCCCATCGGCCCTTTTTTGGAATTGCTCTGTCACGCTTATTGACCGTTCGCAAAGACCCGCCATCTTTAGTTACTGTTGCTATGTCCAACAAGCCACGCCGCTCTCACGCCACACATCATGTTCTCACGCAGAGAAAAATACATCTCGGAGCAAAGATGACACTGACAGCGCGCCGACAGACAGGACAGAGCAGGTTACTTTTCATATGAAACAGTCTCAAATTTCAAATTTAGTCTTTTCTTTAAGAAATTTAAACAATAAATACAGTTTTGTGGCTCTTTAATGTGTGGTGGTGACAGATCGCTGTAGCGCCTCAGTTAAAGCTGCTCGTGAACCGATCATCTTAAACGTGAATGAACATCAGAAGGAATGTTGTTTCAACCGCGGAAAGACGTCAGTATACAGTTTTCAAGTTCAAGTCCACCGACGTTAATCTACTAACTCTCCTGACTGCTTTGTCGGACCAAATGGCGGATTCGGCAGATGGTGAATTATGATTGGTCAGATCGGTTGTCAATCAAACTCCTGGCAAAGAGTGAATTTGCCCTCTTTAGTAAATCTGGCCCTTACTGTTAAGGTGCAGTCACATTAGCGAAATTTTGGTAAAAAGTGTAGCCGTGTATAGGGCTGACTTCTAATAGTCGAGGATTCGAGGATTCGATTCGGAGATGTCTGATTCAACTATGAACCTCATAGTCGAATAGTAGGGAAGTGTTATGTAACCAATAGGGGTGTGACGGTTATTATATAACCGTGAGACCGACGGTTATAGTTGAACACCATCATTAGAACTCTATAACCGCCAAAACCGTGCTATTAAAATATTTTTTACAAACATTTTTTATCATAGAGAATGTTTAAATACTAATATCATCTTACGAGGGAAACGGAGGTGGAGTTAGTGTATGGAGCGAATTATGTGCCAAAACCTCACACACACACAAAACGTGTTTTACTCACACCCAATGATTCACAAACAAACTCAATGTGGTTTGTAAATACAAAACATCACTCACAAACTAATGCATATTGTTCTGCAAATAAAAAACGTACCTATCAAACAAATACAGTATGTTTTACATATACATAGAAACGTATTTCTTCAATGACAAAAATATCATCCAAGTACAAACTAAAATCTTTTAAAGTACAAAACAAAATTCTACAAGTACAAAACAAAATTCTACAAGTACAAAACAAAATTCTACAAGTACGAAACAAAAACCTTCATGTACAAAACAAAATTCTACAAGTACAAAACAAAAACCTTCAAGTACAAAGCAAAATTCTACAAGTACAAAACAAAATTCTACAAGTACGAAAAACTGTCACGTGACTTTTGACACAATTTTTCCGCGTCCAGGCATATTTTCTCACAAATGCAGTTGAGCAACTTCCTCTTCTAGAACAGTAGATGGCGCTAAGATAGGGGATCAATTTCGCGCTAGTCTCTCGGGAGAAACACTGATGTGAAACGCATGCTTGCCTTTGCCCATGGGAAAATGAGCGGTGAACAGGTGTGTTTCTGTCTTACTTTATCTATAATTTACCTTATTGAGGTTTTGGTAAATGTTTATTATATAGACTATATAGACAGAAATCCACATTAGCACTTAGTAGCACTCCACTCTAGGGAATAAAACTGAAAGCTCTGCCAAAACAAACAATATACAATTGATTCTTAACTTCCCTGTGACGTATTGCCCAAATTATTATTTTGGACAGACAAATGAAACCCTCCTTTCAATTAAATTAAATGTTCTCATTAATTTATGGAGAACGAAAGAAATAGATTCGTTCAGTGTACATAATCACCAATTTAGTAATTTCACACGCGTCTTATGTAGATTTTTTTTTTTTTTAAAGCAACATATGATAGAGCTTTCAGCTTAGATTCCCCTATCCTATAGAGAGAGAAGTGCTACTAGCGGTAATATGGATTTTTGTCTAGATGTAATAAACATTTTGCAAAAGAAAACCTCAATAAGGTTAATTAGATAAAGTAAGACAGAAACACACCTGTTCACCGCTCATTTTCCTCAGCTGTAGGCAGTGTTGGGAAAACATAGGCTATTTCGTTACAGAAGTACATGCCCAAAAATGTAATTTGTAACGTATTCCGTTACATTACTCAATCTGAGGGATTATGTCCGCATTGAATTGCCTTTTATGAATGTAAGAATGCGGCAATCTTATCCTGCTTACTAAACAGGCCTATTCTGGTGGGTGCGGTGGTACGCGTGTACCATGTAGGGTGGCACTGCCAATAAAGCACCTTAAAGCTGTCACAAAGAACCGGCAAAAGATTATGAATATGTAAAATATAGCAAGGAGATATTTTAATTGTTTATTAATAAACAAGTGTATTCTTTGTCAGTGTGTCGGCTGAAAACATGAAGTTGACGATGCTGACTCAGGATTACATAAGCAGAGAGCAGTCTGTAGTCTTTTTTCTTTCGTTTTGAATTGTTCGTTTAAAAGTAGACATGTCTGTGAGAGAGGCTACCTTATAGTTTGTAGATTGAGTAATGTAACGGAATACGTTACAAATTACATTTTTGGGCATGTATTCTGTAACGAAATAGAACACTGCCTAGTACAGCTGAGGAAAATGAGCGTTGAACAAGTGTGTTTCTGTCTTCTAATTAACCTTATTGAGGTTTTCTTTTGCAAAATGTTTATTAGGCCTACATCTAGACAAAAATCCATATTACCGCTAGTAGCACTTCTCTCTCTATAGGATAGGGGAATCTAAGCTGAAAGCTCTATCATATGTTGCTTTAAAAATAAAAATAAAATCTACATAAGACGCGTGTGAAATGACTAAATTAGTGATTATGTACACTGAACGAATCTATTTCTTTCGTTCTCCATAAATTAATGAGAACATTTAATTTAACTGAAAGGAGGGTTTCATTTGTCTGTCCAAAATAATAATTTGGGCAATACGTCACAGGGAAGTTAAGAATCAATTGTATATTGTTTGTTTTGTTCATTCATTATTTCATTACATTAACAGTTACGCTGACTGAATTCAACTAAATTAATGAATAAGTGGGACCCTTTCAATTAAATTAAATGTTCTCATTAATTTATGGAGAACGAAAGAAATAGACTCATTCAGTAAATGAAACGTTTTTACAAAAATGTAAAAAGCAACATGATGGCAGAGCTTTCAGTTTATAGATTCCCTTATCCTAGAGTGGAGTGCTACTAAGTGCTAATGTGGATTTCTGTCTATATAATAAACATT